CCTCCTGGTTACCAAATTGGACAATGCACAATAGAATAGTGTCATCAATGCAGAACACTCTGTTAGACAACACTGGTTCACAGGAAACAATTCAGCCCCTTTGATTTGTCTCCTATTTCTGTTCAGTCTCAGCTTCAGCACTTTCTGCCTCTTTGTCTTGCCCATCCCCTTACAATTTACACACTCACACCACCGCATGCACCTTCCTCCAGCTTTGCACAGACTGTACCCTCTACAGAGAAAGCTCTCTCTCCTCAGATGACCTCAACCACTTTGGCAATTCCTCCTGCAAGATTCAGCTCGTGATTTGCTTTGCGGTACTTGTCTTGTCCACTTTGTTCCTCTTACTGGTCCCCACTGACCCTCTTACATCCCTCCAGTTCAGTCTTATCCCAAGGCTCTTTACTTAGGTTCCTCTGCTCTCTATATTAAGTTCCTTTAAAAAAATTGAGTCTCATAATTTGTATTTCTTGAGCATAGTTACAGATAGGCAAATCTGTTCATTTTCCTTTATATATTTGGCTTTTGTCTCTGTCTTATGAGTGCCTTCTCAATCTCCAAGTTTTAAAAAGTATTTTCCTTTTACTAATTGTTACATTTATATCTTTAGTGTATGTGAATTTTACTTTGGTCCTTACAAGGTAAGGATTTAACTTTACAATTTTTTTTCTAAATTGTTATAGGTTGGTGGTTAGAAGTTCTCATTCTACACTTGGAATGGGATGATGGCCTCATGGCCTCATCACAGACCTCTGCTCCCAAGAAACCCTGGTGGTGCTATGGGTTAGACACTGGGCTGACAACCAGAAGGTTGGTGGCTCGAATCCAGCAGCTGCTCAGGAGAAAGGTGAAGCTCTCACTTCCTGCACAGGCTTACGTTGAATCAGAATCAACTTGATGGCAGTGGGTTTCCTGCATGAGAACACTCTTTCTAAAAGGCACATATGATCATGACTATCCTCTGCTCAGATCCCTTCAATGACTCCTCATCAGATTCCAGAGAAACAGAAATCCCACTCACTCTTCTTCTTTTTTTAAATCATTTTATTAGGGGCTCATAAACTCCTATCACAATCCATACACACATCAATTGTGTAAAGCGCATTTATACATTCACTGCCCTCATCATTCTCAAAACATTTTCTTTCCACTTAAACCCCCGACATTAGGTCCTCATTTTCCCCTCCCTCCCCGCTTCCCCCTCCATCATGAGCCCTTGATAGTTTATAAATTGTTATTTCGTCATGTCTTGCCCTGTCCGACATCTCCCTTCACCCACTTTTCGGTTGTCCATCCCCCAGGGAGGAAGTCACATATAGTTCATTGTAATCGATTTCCTCTTTCCAACCAACTCTCCCTCTACCCTCCCTGTTTCGCCACTCACACCACTGGTCCTGTAGGGCTCATCCTCCCTGGATTCCCTGTATTTTCAGTTCCTATCTGTACCAGTGTACATCCTCTGGTCTAGCCAGACTTGCAAGGTCGAATTCGAGTCATGGTAGTGGGAGCAGGGAGGAAACATTTAGGAACTAGAGGAAAGTTGTATTTCTCATCATTGTTACATCGCACCCTGACTGGCTCACCTCCTCCCCGAGACCCCTCTGCAAGGGGATCTCCAGTGGCCTACTAATGGGCTTTGGATCTCCACTCCGCACTCCCCCCATCATTCACTATGGTAAGATTTTTTGTTCTGATGATGCCTTATACCTGATCCCTTCGACACCTCGTGGTTGCATAGCCTGGTGTGCTTCTTCCATGTGGGCTTTGTTGCTTCTGAACTTGATGGTCGCTTGATTACCTTCAAGCCTTTAAGACCCCAGACGCTATACTTTTTGATAGCCGGACACCATCAGCTTTCTTCGCCACATTTGCTTATGCACCCATTTGTCTTCAGTGATCCATTCGACACCTCGTGATCACACAGGCTGATATGTTGTTCCATGTGGGCTTTGTTGCTTCTGAGCTAGATGGCCGCTTGTTTACCTTCAAGTTTTTAAGACCCCAGACGCTATATCTTTTGATAGCCGGGCACCATCAGCTTTCTTCACCACATTTGCTTATTCACCCACTTTGTCTTTAGCGGTTGTGTCGGGAAGGTGCCCACTCACTCTTCTTATCTGCTGGGCAATTCCTACAGGCTCTTCAAGATCCAGCTCAATGGATCCTCTGATTGAAACCATTCAGGTGAGTTGTTTACTGTGCTGAGTAAAATGAACCAATAAGATGTGGCCCCATCCCTCGAGGGTCTCCTTCCCCACTCCCTGCCCCTGCCCCCATGTTTGGAGAGGTGTACGTCTTATAATTCATCATATAAATTCATAATTCTTCCATCACAACATTTGAACAGCCCTTCACTATGTCCCTGGGGGAAGCAAGTCTCTAATTTTTTTAATCCTAAGCATGAAGCTCAATGCCTGGCACACTTATATTATTCAAAAAATAATTGATGCATTCTTAATAAATATGAGGATAACTTAACTATAAAACAAAATTGTAACATAAAGATTACTTAAACTAGTAAGATGGACTCTTCTTGATTAAAAAGTTGTCTAAAACAAGTCTTAGTGGCCAAAGAAATAGAAAATAACTATGTTTTGACTTATCTTAATGGTGTTCTTTTTCTCATTCAAGTTTTTATTTTTTTAAACTGCATCTTGAGACAGAAGTCATCAAGTTAGAAAAACCGCAAAATTAGCGAGGGCAAGAGATTCCCAGGAGAAGCACAGAGTGCTGAAGGAGACTTAACAGCTGTGACTCAGGAATTGCCACTCCTACCAGCCAGTCATAAAGCAGCAACACAGCATGGAAAATGACACAACTGCAGGAGTCACCCTGGCCAAAACGGGAGCACAGTCCCAGGCACACTCTGTGGGAAGGAAAAGGAACCCAAGAGAATGGGCTTCAGAGCCTTGGTAACAGGAGTCATGTTCAAGTATCTCCCATTCCTCAAATAACCTCTTAGAAAGTGCGTCAGGCCTGACAACCCCTCCCTGCAGCCTCCTCCCTGCAGGCACCAGCTGGGGCCCACGGAGGGCTGGGCTGGAGGGGCTGGCCAGGACTCTGGAACCTTCTTTGTAATAAAAGCCCGATGATGGGAAAAGAAAAAAAAAAGGAAGCGCCTCAATGTCTCAGTCGCGTGAGACTTGGTAGTCACACTGTCATAATCACCGCGTGGCCTCCTCCAGGCCTGCGCTAAAGTCTCATTCTTGCAAGCCAGCAGGCTAGCCAGCAGTCATGCAACTTGGCTGCACAGGGGCACTACCTGAAGAGATTTTAAAATACTGGTTCCAAGACATTTTTTAAAACTCACAAGACAATTCTAATGTGTAGCCAAAAACTTGCGTTGCAATGTCTCTTACTCACCCTCATGGGGACATCACTGGACATACGGGTGCTACAGCAAAGTGCGACAAAGAAACTAGCTGGTGCCCAGCTGTCAGAATGCATAGTGTCTGGGGTCTTGGAGGTTTGTCTTCAAACAAGCAGCCACGTAAGTGAGGTATCAAGTAAGTCAACATGGAAGC